TCTGCAATTGCACAGGGCTAATGTTTAGAAGGATTTAATGCTCTGCTGTCTTTGCCATAAAATTCTTAATAACTTTTGAACAAGGAGGACTACCTTTTCATTTTGCACTTGGCCTGCAAATCATGTAGCTGGCCCTGCCTAACAGTGAGGGGAATTTAATTAATTTCATTAATTTATTCAGCAAATATGTATTGAGTACTTCTTCATTAGGTATGCCCCTCAAATTTATGTTCTTATCTTCCACTGGGAGCTCATACCTGAATGCAAACTGCCTATTCTAGGACTCCACTCAAAAATCTCAACACTGATATTCTCCACTCCATCTCCAGGCACTCCCTCTGCCTCGTTTCCTAGCCAGTTAATGGCAGCCCCATTCTCCCAATTGCTTAGGCCAAAAACTTCTCATCATTCTTATCTCTTTCTCTCTCTCTCTCTTTTTTTTTCATTCGCTGTGCATCAGAATCGACTCCACGGCAGTGGGTTTGGTTTTGATATATCCAGCCCATTAGCAAATCCTATTGGCTTTGTCATCAAAATATAGGACCAATTTTTTATCCCACTTCCGCTTCTACCATCCTGATCATTATGGTGGCAATCTCTTAAGTGGTTTTCTGTCCTTGCCCTCTTCAGTACAGCAGCTCAGTCAGGTCATGGTGTTGCTCTGCTCAGTCCTTCTGTGGCTTTCCATCTCAGCGTTAAAGTTGCAGAGCTTACCTAAAGGCTCTGCCCATATGAGCAGCACCGCTGTCTCGCTTCCCCTCACCCTACTGTTATGTCTTGCTCCCTCTTGCCTCACTCTTTTCCAGTCACAGTGCACACTTGGTGCCTTTGTACTTACTGTTTCTTTGGCTCGAATGCTTGTCCCATGGGCATCAGTATGATCTGCTCCCTCCTCTCCTTAAGGTCTTTCTCAGTGAGGACATCCCTGACTGCAGTTTAACATTGCAGTACCCCAAAGCATCCTTCCATGCCTCCTTTCCTGCTTTGTTTTTCTCCATGCCATGCATTGCCATCAGGTTTAGTCATTGATTGTGCTTCTTTTGCCTAGAATGTAAATCTCCCAGGACAAGGATTTCTTTGTGTTTTATTCCCTGCTGTGTGCCCAGTATGTATAACAGTGATCGACACAGAGGTGTTAAATGAATGAATGCTGTGTGCCAAGCACCAGGCCAGGGAGGATGGTCAGTAAGGCTTGGCCCTTGCACACCAGACAAGTAACCCAGGGCTTGCATCGCACACCTGAGCATGAGCAGAGTGCACACCTCCTCACGTGCAAGTCAGGAAGGGCAACAATAACTTGGCTTCTGGGGGACTGGAATACCAGGGTGAGGTGATGCTCGCAGGGAGTCCTGGAGGCTGAGCTCTTATTGAAGGAAAGGGGACGATGTACTGGATGACCAAGCACCATGTGCAAATGCAAACATGGTGAGGGGAAGGATGGTGGTGGATTCAGGGAATAAACAGTGAGCAACTGGTTCAGTGGAGGTTCCTGCGTGGTACAAATGGTTTGCTGTCAACTACTAACCTAAAGGTTGGCAATTTGAACCCATCCAGTGGTGCCATGGAAAAAAGACCTCAGTGATCTTCTTCTGTAAAGATTACAGCCAAGAAAACCCTGTGGAACATACTACTTTGTAACACATGGAGTCGCCATGAGTTGGAATCAACCCGACGGCAATGGGTTTGATTTTGGTTTTAGTTTTTGGTGGTGGAGTTCTCACATTCCCTGTGGGACACTCAGGTTCAATTCCCGGCCAGTGTACCTCATGAGCAGCCACTACTAGTCTGTCGCGGAGGCTTGCGTGTTGCTGTGATGTTGAATGGGTTTCAGCGGACTTCCAGACTATGGTGGACTAAGAAGAAAGGCCTGGTGATCTACTTCTAAAAATCAGCCAGTGAAAACCCTATGGATCCTAACAGTCAGATCTGCAGCTGATCATGGGGATGGCGCAGGACCAGTCGGTGTTTCATTCTATTGTGTGGGGGGCCGCCGTGGGTCACGACCAACCTAACAGTAACTAACAACAGCAGCAGTTCAGTAGGGCTGGAGCTCAGGTCTGAATTTGGGAGCAGTGATAGATGAGCCAAGAGAGGAAAGGGGAGTCTGATTTGTGTGTTGTGCTGAGGCATTTGACTTTATTCTGAGGGGGCAGGGGGCCGTTAAACACTTTTAAGGGGAGGGTGTCTGTACATAGAAAGGTCTGGTTCCTGGAGCATGGATCTTGGGAAAGCAGGGAGGTGGTGAGTTAGGAGGCTGCCACAGGAATCTTGGCAAGAAGTAATGGGGGCTTAAACTGAGGCAGCAGCAGTGGGAAGAAGTGGATGGATTCAGAAGATGTTAGAGCCTTCTAGTTACTCAGATGACAGTATTTTTTCTGGTTTTAGATGCAGTTATTCTGGGATAGAGGAAGGTGGACTGGCTAACTTTATGTGTAGCTTTGATTCGTATTGCCAGAGAAATGTCTATGGTTTCTGATCCAAGTGTTTCTGGCTCCATTCCCTTTGGCTATATAGATGTACCCCTTCGGAAACAAGGACGCTTTATACTGTTACCGGACTGCCACCTTGTTCTTACTGCTGTATGAAATCTGTCTCAACAGAATATACCAATTTTCCTAGTAACACAAGCACACTTTGTACTTTGGTCAAAATGTTCTGTTTCTCAGTGCATGTAAATCTTTCTGTATACTGATTAGCCATACATAGGAGCAAATTGTATATTTAATCTGTAGTCTTAAGGGTGAGTAGATGTTAGGATTGATGTTTTCTCCTTTTGGAATTTTTGTTCTGAGCTTTGAAGACATTTAACCATCTGTTTATGACTTTAAAGTGAGTGTTCTAAGTGGAGGCAATGAATAAATATGTGAATTATGAAAGATATTTTGAGGGGTGCTGTCAATATGAATTGCTACTATCTATCTTTCTCGGCTGTATAGCTTTAAAAAATGTCTGACATCAGCAGACAGTATTTATAAGAAATTGAAAAAAATATCTAAATGTATCTAAAAAATATGGATTTTTGTCTGGATTATATCTTTTAGGAGGAGACTTTAGGGTATGGCGTTGCTTCAACTGCATTTCAAGGAATCCATTCTTCTTTAAAGCACCTTTTGCCCATATCTTCAATTATTTACAGATGATGCATATTTATTTAATATTATATTACAACATTGTTTTGATAACAAATTAGGTGTTGGATTTGCTGTTGAATTTCTTTTCAGAAATAGAAATTAGTATTTTTTAAGTCTTATGTTGTGTTTCCCTCCAGCCAGTTATAGTAGATGATTACGAATAATTTAAGTCACATAACTCTTCTGTGAGAGAACGAGTTGTATCTTCCCCTACCCACAGGGGGTAATTCATTAGTTCCAGATATTTCTTTTCACAAGGGTTTTAGTTTTCTGACCATAATATAAGATTTCAAAGAGTTTTAGAGTTGGCTACATATATGCAAATTATACAGCAATTTTCAAAATGTGCTTTTGCTCAGTATTAATAGTGAGCAAAACCAGTTGGAAGTAACAGTTGGAACAAAGACTTCATTTGTCAATTTTTATTCCTTTTGCGTATAGTTGAAATTCTGTTGGGAACTGAGTAAATTTAAATGTAAATAAAATGAAATACCAACATATTTCAACTCAGAGAACTGGTTACCATGTTAGTAAGTCTCAGAATTGCATAACTTAATATAGGCCTAAAGCAAATGCTAATACATTTTGACCTTGGTTTGTGCTTGACATTATTCTTTGATAATTGTTGTCGTGCTGATGGTCCACAAAGGAATCCAGCAAAGCAAAGTAGAATTATATGAGAGCAGTTTGGAGGGCCTTACACTGTGTGGTGTGCTGTGGTGTTTTGAGATGTTGACTGCACTTTTCTATTACTGTCTACCAGCTTCCCATCCAGCCATCCTTGAGTTGGCTCCTGTAGGTAGATTTATACTAATTCTGAGTAGCCAGTGCTTTAATTTATTAATTTCATCCTTTATGTAAAAATCTAAGCAGAAGTGCATGTATTAATAATCATAGGCTGTTCCTTCTCTGTTGTCACATACAAAGATACATATTTGCATATATGCATTGTGTGCCTGTACAGTATGCCTAATTAATTCATCTCTCTAAAAGAAGTTCTAGCATTGTCATAGATGTGAAGAAGAGTATTATTTAATTCTATAAACCATTTCATCTGTATTTATGAAAATTATCCAGAAAGCAAACATTGGAAAAAACAGTCTTTGCTGACTAAGCTTTTCCTTTGTGTTTATTGCTTCACATGGACAGGCCTGGACATGTTTGTTTTATGTACCTGGGTTTATGAGTTTGCCGTTAGGAATTTGGCCAACATGTTAGAGAGTGATATTTAGGCAAGAATGTGTGAATATGAAAGATGGATGTTATTCATTCTTTATTAAAAATAAAAAACAACAACAAACAAAAGCTACTCTCTAAACATTGACAACTTAGAATTAAAGAGACTAGAAAATAATCATGATTTAAAAAAAAAAAAAAAAAGAAACTACACCACAGAGTGGTGCTAATTTTACTGCCTCCTATGGTATTCTTGTAAATGGTTTTCTGAAATAAATCTTAGCTAAAAGCTAAGCCACTTTCAGTTTCCGGCTTTGCAAACATGTTTATGTTCCTCTGTCAGAACGCATTTGTATTTTCATTCACATTGTAATCCTTTATGATCAGTTATGACTCTGGATTTTTTTTTTTTTAGTAGAAAATCCCCATAATTTGGTATGCTGAGCTTTTGCTCTCGTGGGCTGGCTGACCCTCTACTGGTATTGATGGTATCTAAAATGTAGGGATGGCAGATGGCAGGACCGCCCTGTTGTATACCTGAGAGACCTTCATGAACATGTTTGGAAAAATGCATTACCACTGAATGGCTTACCAGGAAGGGAGATGTTGAAGAAGTTAGTATTTGTAAGCAACAGTGTCTTACGTGAATTAAGGGTGAATTGTGTGTGTGTGTTTTTTTTTCTCCCTTTTCAGATTTTGGGGTAAGTGCATTCTTAGCAACAGGGGGTGATGTTACCCGGAACAAAGTAAGAAAAACTTTTGTTGGCACCCCATGTTGGATGGCCCCTGAAGTCATGGAACAGGTAAAAAATTATGAAGTTTTGATTTGACACAATACAGTAGTACATATTATTAATACACTAACATTTCATTTAAATCTATCATTTCAGTAAAATGCATCATGTATCTAAGATTTAATTCCTGCTTGCTGGGACTTAACAAACTAGTATGAAAGTTGTAAATATTTAGCAGTGGACTTCCCTCATAATACGGACTTTGTGATTTGTAACATGCCTGCTGTATAAGTGTGTTTTTTTTTTTTCTTTTTTCTGGTTCCTGTCTTAGGTGAGAGGCTATGACTTCAAGGCTGACATGTGGAGTTTCGGAATAACTGCTATCGAATTAGCAACAGGAGCAGCACCTTATCACAAATATCCTCCTATGAAAGTAATTACTTTTGGAAATAATATGTCTGATTTGAAATATGACTTAAAGGAATCTATCCCCTGATTCTCTTAAATACAGTCGTTTTTCTTTTAGACCTGAGGAGAATTAGTGAAGGGATACAGCCAAGTTAAATGTTGTCTGATGTTTCTCTGTGGACAGAATAGATCAAACGTGGTACATTTGCCAGCTTTGAAGCTTGCTTTACATTCTTAGCACAGAGCTGAGGAAAGAATGTGATCAGATTGGCTGATGGAGGTTGATCGCTGTGACAAATGCTAGTCATTACTCTTTTTGATAGCAGAACACCCCTACTTTCTCAAAGAAAATCTAAAAATAGCCTATAGTGGTATCATCTTTGCAGATGAATTTCCCAAAATTTCAGGGCTTTTTTTTAATGGTCTATACTATTTTAGCCCTGCTGTCATACTGTCATGTTGGTGACTCATTCATATAAGTGAACTACAGTGTTTTTAGGAAATAAAATACGTTTTGGATTCTATTTTCAGGTTTTTGTCATTCTTTTAACCAGTTTACATCATTATTTCTCCTGGTTCTGAGGTGGTGGTACCAGGGCTGATTTACTCACCTAGATTTTGTTTTGAGGATGATATACTTGAGTGGAAATTATAAAGATATTTTATGGATAATATGGTTGCTTTATTTTTTTCCTGGGCAAATATTATAAAAATGTAGGATGATTAAAAAAAACAAAACTGAGAATAAAAAAGTTAAATAGTTTTACCAGTTGAAAAAAGCAATGTTCTTATTATAGAAAATTTGGAAGTTTAAATAAGCTAAAGAAGAAAATAATTATCACTAATTCCATCAACCATCAAGAATCCTTGTCAAGATTTTAGTGGAGTTCATTTCATTGTTTCTCTCTCTCTCTGTGTGTATATGTGTGTGTGTGTATTTAACATAGTTAAGATTTTAGTCTGTCTGCCTGTCTGTATATCTATCAATCATGTATTTATTCATCTCTCCCTGATTTTGTTAGTTGACAAGTTAAAGTTGAGGTATAAACAACTGAAATGACCCTTCAGAAAAAAACACTGAAGCGACTCTTAAAGATTTTTTCTTCTGTCTGGTTTTTCTGGACTGTTCTTCTTATTCATTTTCTTCTTTCTTTCCACACTTCTCAATGTTTCCCACCTGAATCCAAAGTCTCACTTGCTAATCCCAGCCTGAAGCGCCACAGGACTTCACTTCTGAGTTCACCGTTGTCCCACTCTCTTCTGTTTGCTATCCTCCACAAACAATAAACTGTCAGTTTAATCCTTCATCTATTCATACATCTACAAGTGTTTGAAAAGAGTCTTGGCATGTATAACATTTGCATAAATTATGGCTAATTTACGCATTAATGAGATTTACTCGTTTCACAGGTCAATAGTTTGTTACAAATTCTACCATTTCTTAAGCAAATTATTTTGATGCTAATGTGAAAACTGGAATTTTTTCCTGTTTGATTTAAAGTTGTATTTTGATTTTGTTTCGCTATTCTTCAGAAGAAGCATGGCCTTTTGATCTGATTATGGTCTTTAGCAACTCAGTTGTATTATGGCTATCGTTCAGTATCTTGCTATCTCAATTTAGTCAAGTTTTTTGGCAATTTTCTGTATGTATTTTTAGGTACCAAAAAAAGGGAAATCATGTTGCCTCCTGGGATGTTGTAGATTTATTTTTAGAGTTGGTAATGTGTTACAGAAGCCTTGAGTGCAGCGGTTCCTTATTATGAATGACCAGCAGACATGAATGTTCACTGCTGCTCTGGCCTTCTTTCCCAACCAGAGTCCCAGGCTTCACTACACCGGGCCCGGAGCTACGTGCTCCTTGAGGCAGTGTGAGAGCCAGTTCCCAGGAAGCTCTGTCCCTGTCCCTTTGGGAGATTCATTCTTAACACATAGAACAGATTTTGTAATCCTGTCAGTGGAGTTAAAAAAAAAAAAAAAAAAGGTTAAAGGGTACGTGAACAGATTTGCAAAAGGAAATTAATACTGTCAGTACACAGTTTCTGGAAAATTAAAATCATGGGAAGGAAAGTTGGTACTTAACCAAGGATGCTCTTTCATATTTTTGTGAAAAATTAAAAACTTGATTATAGCAGTCGCTATACTCAAACTCTGCCTTCATATTTGTTTCTGCCACAGGTGTTAATGTTGACTTTGCAAAATGATCCACCCACTTTAGAAACAGGAGTAGAGGATAAGGAAATGATGAAAAAGTACGGCAAGTCCTTTAGAAAATTACTTTCACTGTGTCTTCAGAAAGATCCTTCCAAAAGGTATGTCATACTCTGTGGATGAGTTAATGACCTGGTTTAGTCATGACAAAGCTTTGTTTGTGGATGGAGAAAGGCTATATGAGGACATCTAAAAGGTACTCCTAGTATCTTGGGAAACCCTGTTCAGGCCCCTGGATTTCCAACCTGTTAGTGGAAGACAGTGTGAGTCAAAGAGGGAGAAGAGTGAGTGGAGGACTAGGGGGAGCAGAGGAAAGTCTTTGGTGGTAATAGGATTCACTGCGCTTGTTAGGTGTGGGCTCTGTCATCAAAGGAAATGAAGTAAAACAGAATCAAAAGAAATTGGCAGTGCTGCATTCAGAAGCTGAGCTAATATTCTGTACTGTGTAGGTTTGGCTGACCTCTCAGGATTTGAGTATCCTGCTAGCTCCAGTCTAAACCAGGCAGAGTTGTTGAATTTTGCATGAGCCTCCTTTTAGTTGAAGAACAAATTGTTTGTGCTTTTTAAAAGACTATCAGTATATAAGATTAAGGAGATTTTTACCTTAGAAAGATTAATCATATAAACAGAAACAAAAGGCTTTAAATTAACTTTAGTGTTTTCTGTTTATTCTTGGGTTATTGCCCTGCACACTGGTGTGTCTGTTTTCAGAGTTTGCTTCACTCCTTAGTTTCTATGTCTTTGAAGTACGCTGGGTAGTGATAATAAGAGTCCAGTGTTCTTTATCACTTACAGGGGAATGTTAATGATGTGAACCATGCATTGCCTGGATATGTTCCCTCTGTTGGGCTTAGCTGTGTGTGGCCCTATTCTAACATACTGTGAATATAGACTTAGAGACTTGGAGAAGCCCCTGGGAAGTTACTGTCTACCCTAATCCATCCAGCGATCCAGTTTGATGTTTACATTTTAAAACTTAATACCTGACTTTTCTTCTGTAACTTTCTTTTTTCAGGGAAGGACCCTGCTTTTAAAAGCTTTTCCTTTAATTTTAAATTTTCTGTGATACTGGTTAAGCACAGTAACCTACTCTTTGAGGAGACTGCCCTGCTCTCTGCTAAACACACTTTCCATTATTTTACTCATTCTTTATAGCTGCTCTTTTCATTCTTTTAAATTTTACTGAAATTGCCTTTAACTTTTTTCCATTAGTCACTTTTCTCACAGAGCTAGGTCTAAAGAGTGTTTGCTATTAAGCCACAGTCTTAATAATAAATAATCTTGTAATTATTTGTTATACAAGGGATGATTACGTTGTTACACCTATAGATTATTTCTGCTGAAACATCTCAGTTGTTGTTTATAATTGATATGTAGGGCTTGTTTTCCCTCCAGAATCATATTGATCTTTCATGGTGGTTATTTTTTTACTCTCCTATTGGTGAAAATGCTTTTAGATTCTAATTTTATCTCAACCCCAGCTTACCTTTCCCTTATGCTTGGTGTCATCTCCAAATGTAAAGTCTTGACATCATCAAGGAAACAGAATTTCATCCTCTACAGCCTAATAAAGGAGCCCTGGTGGTGCAGTGGTTAGTGCTTGGCTACCAACCGAAAGGTCGGGAATTTGAACCCACCAGCCTCTTTTCGGAAGAAAGATGTGGCAGTCCACTTCCATAAAGATTACAGCCTTGGAAACCCTATGGGACAGTTCTACCCTGTCCTAAAGGGTTGCTATGAGTCAGAATAGACTCCACGGCATGGGTTTGGTTTGGTTACAGCCCAATGAGAGAAATACTTGTTTTCCTAGTCAGCACTGGGTTATTACTGATGTCTTTGTGATTCTTGAACTAGTTGAGATCCCACCTAGTGGTTTCGATGTGCAAAGTCACAGAATTCCAGCTTATTAAGAAAATTGTTCTATAGGGCAGAATTGTTAGTGTACTTAATGATATAACAATATATCTCTTCAGGAGATTTCTAATTTGGTGAAAAGAAATCCGATTGAAACACATTATATTTCATTATATTTAACAAACTATATTTATTTCTTAATGATTTTGAAAGTCTTTCCAGGTTTTATTTATTATATGAATCCAAATACAAGGTTTCCCCTGCCCCCCAAAAAAAAATCCTTTAGAAAAGAGGCATCCAGCATGTATTTGGATCCGTACAAAGTCTTTCCTTCCAAGTATTTTTTTACTACTGTTATTTTGATCTACAAAGTATTAGTAGTTTAAGGATTTCTTTTAGATATTTTGTCTAAAACCTAATCTGTTCTGAATATTGTGCAATAGCTCTCTATAACAAACAATTGTAGACTGTTAATGATTCACAAACTTCTTTTAATGAGAAGTACACAGATATTAAGTAGGTACGTGAAGGGTTTGAACACAAAAAAAGATTTATGAAATGTGAGAATGGAACAAGTAATATTGTTAAATTATTTATTTACATAGGATGTGGTTTTTAAATATACGTTTATTACTGAATTAATGGGTGGTACAAGTGGATAAATTCTTTACTACTAACCGTAAATGTTGGCAGTTCAAATCCACCCAGAGGCACCTTGGAAGAAAGGCCTGGTGTTCTGCTTCTGAAAGGTCACAGCCTTGAAAACCCTATGGAGTGCAGTTCTACTCTGTGTACATGGGGTCTCCGTGAGCTGGTATCAACTTGATGGCAGCTGGTTTAGTTTTTTTAAAAATAAGTAAACATTTGATTGCTGTACAATTCTTACAGAAACCATGTGTATTTTTAGTGCTTTCTGTCTTATTTTATTCAAGGATTCTTCTTCCTTTGTCTCTACGTCCACCTGTCTTTCAATACTTAGTTCAAATGCCACATCTGCTTAGAGTTAGATACATCTGGGTATGATTCCTAGCTCTACTTTATTGTTGTCTGAATGACTCAGTTTCTTCATCTGTAAAATGAGACTAATAACATCTACTTCATAGGCTTGCTGTTAGGATCGGATGAGCTAGGGTATGTAAAGCAGAAGGCACAGAGCCTGGTAGTTCCTAAGTGCTCAGGAAATTAGAGTTGCCATTCATTTTTTGCTTTTTTTTTTTTCCTTAATGAAAGTGGAGTTATTGCAACTTTCAGTTTTCCTACAGTATTTTGAATATTTGTCTGTTGTAGTGCCTGTTACGCTGTTATATTTAGATTTATACACCCGACTTCCTCATGAATTTGTAAGCTTTTAGAAGGAGAGCCTGTGCTGCTCGTCTTTGTATCCACAGTGTCTGGTCTGTATTATGTACTCAGTACTGTTTCTTGAAAAACCAAAGAGAAGATGTGGAGCTTGACAATTTGGAGGTGATTTGCACCCACTGAGAAGTTTCAGCAACAGAAACCAGATTAGAGTGGGTTGAGGTATGAATGGAAGATTTTTGATGGTTTATATTTACTTGTGTTGCCTGCACGTAGATCATTTACTTGTAATCTGAAAGCAATTGGCTGGTACCAAAGCCCTGGTATTGCTGAGAACCTTTCTAGCAGTGAATGATAAAATATCCCAGAGGAATAGGGACCAGGACAAATTCACTCCTACATAGGAACCCCTAGGCTAACTGAGAAGGGGCTGTGTGTGGCATGTGACAACTTTGAAAGCTCCTGGAGATTTCTTAATAAAAGAGAGCAGGGGTGTTGGCCTGTTGCCTCATCCAAGTGTGTGTTCTGCGTTGGCATAGACAAAGGATTGCTTATATTTGCGTAGCAGACCATCTTACTGTTTTTTTTAAAAAAATCATCCTTGGTCTTGTGGATTACATGCTATGTGTGGATGGCGACTATGAAAAGAACCAGCGTTTTCTTTGAGAAACAAGGGGGCGGAAGTTACATAGCTAAATCCATAAGAAATATTTGAGATTTGAATATTTCTTTCACGGGGGGGGATGGAGTGAGAAAGGCAGAGTTGCCTGAGGTCAATGAGCTGTTAAAATTTAGTAATGCGCATTGTTAGAACTATTTAAACTGTATCATATTCATCCTGAATCCTTTGAGAATTATTTTAAGTCTCCGTGGGCTTTGGTTCATCCATATGTATTAACTGAATCCTTTAAGAGATTTTCTTCTGAGAATGTTGGTACTTGCAGACCACTGCATTGTTTTTAAGGGCTTTAAACTGAATCATCATTCAAAGCCTGGACCTTTAGTTTAGTTGCTGGTAGCATTTTAGCATTTCTTGTAAAAAAAATATGTATTTATAATATATTGAATTGCTCTGTATTTGTTAGGGGCCATGTTACACATGACTATGCTTGCAGAATTCTTTCTCTGTAGTATTCAGCTAGAAGGCAGGCAGCACTGATGATGCCACAGTAACTGGTTGTATGCTGGTAGTTGCTGTAGTATAAAACTGAACTAAACACAACACACAAACAAAAACCAGAGTTCAGATTGGCAATGTGCATCTCAGCTTCTCTCATACCTTTTATCACTTTCTTCCCTCCCTCCTTTGCCTCATTCCTTCCAGTTCCATTTTCCGTACTTCCTTATGTGCCTGGTTTGGCTCATGTAGGAGACGACGCCAAAGCTGTGGACACTTTGGCTTATTCAACCACGAAAAGCAACCAGTGACCTGCTCTTTAGTTATTCTCTGTATAGGATAGACATGAACTATTATTTAAGTCTATCGAAAAAGAATGGGGCACCTTTAAACTAGTTCTCATTTCTCCTGCCGTGGTGTTTGTGCATTTGTTCAGGAAGGCTGAGAGTGGAGTGCAGAAGAAGGAGTTCTCTTTGCTGCATGCTGCTCCCCTTTACGTTTTTGGTTACCATAGAAATAACCTTGCTGGGGAAGGGAAAGTATTTTCCCAGCCCTGTAGTTCAGGGTACGTCTGGCGTTTTCCAAGTCTTCTCTCTGTATCAGTGGTGCACTGGGAAGAGAAGACACTTTACTTGTCGTGTGCAGAGGAGAAAGTGGGGGGGTGCAAGGAGGAGGGGAAACATTTGACTCCCCACTATAGCCCCTCAGCTGTGCACAGACTTATCCCCTTTCATTCTTTTTTTTTTTTTTTTGCTAGCATGAGTCCCATTGTCACTGCAGCATTCTCCTGTTCCACACTAGCTTGAGCAGAAACATAGAATTTGGGGCTGACTAAATCTAGCTGCAGGAATTGTGGTACTCTGTCCAGATGTCTAGCAGCATGAATATTACCTTATATTTGATTATAGTATGAAACTGAGTTATAGTGGGCTTTTTTTCTTTTCTTTCCCTTGCTTTGCTAGGCATTGGAAGTATAAAAAGGGATAGTATGTGGGCTCAGCCTTGGAAGGGCTTATAACCTAGTGTGGTGGGATGGGAATACATGGGAACAGATAATTGCAGAATGGGGGTGTGGGTAGAGTGGTGTGTGAGCACAGAGTAGGGAGAAGTGATTTGTGGGAGCTGGGGGAGGTGTCTCCGAGGAGGGATGACATCCTCCCAGTATAGGATGACATTTAAATTGGCTCTTGACTGATGAACAAGGGTGTTCCAGTTGGTTGGGGGAAAAAAAAATGAAGCAAGAAAAGAGGAGTGTGCTTTGTCGTGAAAGAGCAAGAGATGGTGAGAACATCAGTGTAGTTGAAGGGTAGGGTTCACACAGGGTGTGATGAGAAACGAGGCTGGGAGTCAGGATCTGGGGCTTGTAGGACTGCTAAAGGGCTTTGGCTTTTATCACTGTTAGCACAGATAGAAAAAGATCAGATTTTTTATTTGTTTTTAAAGAAGCAAACTGGGTAAGCTGTGTAGAAGATGGCTTGGAATGAGGGAGAGAGAAGTAGCAGAGAGACCAGCTGGGGGCTGTTGTGACTGTATTTACAAGGGGTGATGAGGGTTTCAGCCAAAACCGTGGCCTTGAGTTCCTTAATCATTCTGATTTTGTTAGATTTCTTTTCACTTAAAAAAAAATAAGTGTAAGTTACTGTGTATGCTTCTTGTTTGTTTTTAATTTTGTTTCATGTTGTGAGGCAAGCAAATATGACACCATATCTTGCTCAGTCTATTCTTTAACCATTCTACCGTGTGCTCTGTCAGTAGCTCTTCTTCTTCAACCCCAGCTCAATTCAAAGGTATTTGAATGCTCTGATGCCCCAGCCTGCCAGTGTTCCGACTCTCAACCTGCTAGGTTGGAAGCCGAGGAAGGCAGTATTTATGCATGTCACGTTCACTGTAGTGAGCCTAGCACCTAGAGTAACGCCCGACAGATAATAGATGCTCAGTAAATATTTATTGAGAAAAATGAAAGAATGGATTTGGAGCAGCTTGAGGCAAAAAAAAAAAAAAAATTACTGATGATCAGTAATAGTATACAGTAAAATAATAACCGCAATTAAATCATGTAAAATAGTAGCATCATTTTTGAGTTCGAGAGCCTGTTTAACAAGGTACAAATTTATGAATTCAAATGAGCTTACCAAAGCATATGGCCCACAAAAAAATGTAAAATGTAGCCCACCTGTTGTTTAGAACTTTATTTACTCAAAGCAATTAGCAGTTAGTGGCTGCTTGTAGCAGTGGATGTGGGGATTAGGGGTTCTTTGTGAAGTTATCTGTAATGAGTGTTCTACTTGAAATCTGAGGAAAAGAGCAATAACAATGTAAATAGAAAATTTCTTTGCATAGAAATAGAGTTTATGGCCTCTGTAGACTTACACAGTTGGTATACTGACACACTTAATGACATTTCTTAATTCTTTTATATTCTGGGTTTGGTCCCTGGGAACATCTTAGTAGAACCTCCTGGTTCCAAAGCAGTGCTTTCCAGTCTTTCAAGTTTGAGGACTCCTGTTACACTTGCACCTTCCCCAGCATAATGATGTTTGTACCTTTGATAATCAATGCCTGAGAGAAAACCTAATGATGTTCAGCAATGCTTTCCTGTCCCCTCCCTATATTTTTTATTATGAAAAATTTAAAAGTGATAGAAAAGGTGAAAGACTAGTAAAATGTTCACGTGTGTACCACCACTTAGATTCAACAATTATTAGCATTTTACCACATTTGCTGTATTTGTAGTTTTCTACATTTTATTTTACTCAACTGTTTGAAAGTAACAAACTTACTCTCCAAAAAAACAGACTTTTTTGCTTACAACTTTTACAAATGACATTTTCCCTACATAACCACACTACTTTTCTACACCGAAGAAAATTAGCAATAATTTTCTGAAATTATCTAGTGTGTTCACATGTTGTCCCCAGTTATCTCCAAATGTCTTTTGACGCTTTCCATACCTCCCTTCCCAACAAACCCAGGCTTCAGGCAAGGGCCGCATGTTGTATTTGGTTGTTGCTTCCTAAGTCTGTTTTACTCTGAAACAGTACCCCCACTCCTTCCGTTTCCCCCCATGACACTGACTCTTTGAAGTGATCAGGCCAGTTGTCTTGCTGACTGTCGGAAACTCTAAATTTATCTGCTTTTTTCCACGGCTGCTTTTTTAGAAGGAACTATTGATGAAGGAAGCTATTCTTCATGAAAGAATGACAGTTAATAAATGTAGAAGCAAGGCTAGAAGTAGAAAATCAGTATTCTGCCAACCCCTGTGAAATAATTATTTTAGGCAAAGATGCTAAAACCATTAGGTGAAAGGGTTGTTTTGGAACTTGATAGTTATACAATACTATAAAGTATTACCCAACAGAGTATTTCCTAATCACAGTGGGGAAAACGCACCTTTACCACGGAGGGATTTGGGGCCTGGAGACCAAGTGATTAAATTTAGCATCACAAATAGTGAAATAACCCAACATTACCTCCAGTACGCTGCAGTAAGAAGTGCACAGCATCACCTGTGAAGTATTCTTGCCAGAAATGCTTGATTAAGCCTAATTGAACCTTTAGAGCTATAACTTTCAATTTACAGAGGATATAGGAGATAGAGAAACAAGTTAGTTGATACTACAAGGAAATAATTGGACAGATCCAGTGATTCTTTTAAATTAATTTGCATTTTATTAATCACAATTTCATTTACCGTCACCTGAAAAACAGTAGTCCATATATGTTTGAGGCAGGGTTATTCATCAGGCAGACAGTGCTTGTACATATGGATTTGTGGACCCCTTACAGTAGCTGCTGCTCCTAGGGATTCATAGTGCACAGTAGACTGTAGTTTCTTTGATAGGATCATATTGTAGCTTGTACGGTTTCTTAATAAATACAGGAATTCAGCTCACAGACGTGTCAGTCTGCCTGCCACCTTTTAGAAGCACTGAATTCACTTAGTGAAGTGTAAGAATGAAGAATGGAAAATTGATCATGCCCCAAGCATTTAACTTAACAGGAGTTTATATGTTTTGCAGTAGAGGTGTTTGGAACGAACTGGAAGTTTGGCACTCTTTTATAGGGTGCCAGCTTATGATTAATTTAGTTTCTGGTTTTGCTATTCCTAAATTGGTCTTCCAGAAATACTCTAGGATTAAGTTGTTTCATCAAGGCAGTGTATTTATTGAGTGGTCATTGTTTCAACTCTAATTTATTATTGATCTTTCAGGCCCACAGCAGCAGAACTTTTAAAATGCAAATTCTTCCAGAAAGCCAAGGTAACATGCTTAAAAACCCAAGTAAATCTGCTATTTTGAAATCACTACAGATTTCCATGTATGATATTTTATTTTAAACTGTTGGGATATTTGTTTTGCAGAACAGAGAGTACCTGATTGAGAAGCTGCTTACAAGAACACCAGACATAGCCCAAAGAGCCAAAAAGGTAAGGGCTGCTAGCCCACAGGACCCTGTGGGAGCCGCTCCCCACCCCAGGAAATGAGACCCATAGAAAAATAGGGAAAAGATTTGCACATACTCAGTGTGTGTTATTTACAGAGGATATGATTAGTAGATTGCTCAGATACTTGCATTTTGCCTTTTGGTTGTCTTAGCTTGCTGTTATGTCTTTGGGAGTGGAAACAATGTGGAACTTAAGTGGTTTAATTTTTCCGTTTATCAGTTTTGCTTAAAGAAGGGTCGGAGAGGAGGGGAGGTTTAAATACTAGAGAGTTAAATTCTCCTTCAATATCTTTCATTTGGGTTTTACAGAAGAGGAATCATCAGTTTTTAAACACAGTTTGAAATGACAAAAACAAAAAACAAAACTTGTGTTTTCAATGATTATTCCAATTATCTGTGGGATATAGGTTCTTATAAAGGACCTGTGGTCTCTTTTGTGTTCTATCTTCTGTTAATTGACTCGTGTTAATGATTGCCTAAAAAAACCTTCCACTCTAGGTTTTAGATTTTTTTAAGTGGTGTGAATGTGTGAGTGTATTTATGTGTTTATCCAGGTTTTATTTTTATTTTTTTTAATTTGTAATTATGGATTTTATTATTGTATTCATTGTAACAGAATTAACCATGATTTACTTTGGTTTTAAAATTTGATAGTTATGAAAGGGAGAATTTTTTTTTTTTTTTTTCCCACAGTTAATAGTTGTAGGGGAAGCTGGTAGGAATCTGAGTTGTCTGTTCTGTAAATAAAATTGGCAAAGGAATGTGTACTGGTGTTTGCATCTCATCTTACCACGGTATAAGTAAATTTGAATGTTCACGCAGACATTGCCTTTTCTAAAATATTCTGTATGAAATGTGTTCAGTTGATGTTTTAGACACATTTTAAAATAGACTTCAAGAAATGAACCGTTCTGTGCAGGTATCTGAGAGCCTCCTCTGTACCAGCAGGTTTCTTTGGGGTGGGCTGGTTTGTGCTCATGGGCTGGTTTGTGCTTCTGGACTTGTGGGCCTGGGCCAGGAATGGGGATTGGTTTGTTGACGGCAGAGACCTGAGCCATGGTTGACCTGATAGAGGCAGCACAGAGAAGCTATACCTTAAGTTTGTGAGAACAGATTAGAAACTGGCAGTGCCAGACCGAAGTTTGAGGTTTCCTAACAAAAGCCTGGGGAGATTCCTTGGGCTGTTAGGGTCTAGCACAGGGCCTTGTGATCGGATATCTAAAACCTCAGCCAGGTTGGAGTGAGCTGTTAGAATGCCATTGGCTTGTGTAGTATGTGCCCCTCGAGGACATTTTTGTTTTGTTTTGTTCTTGGGTCTATACTTTTTCTGCTCCCAAGTTTCACATCCTGCTGCTCTTCCATGTGAGCTGGATTTTCCAGACCTGCTTTCTAGAGATTTTTGCTTCACACCTCCAGCTCTTTATTAAATGGCCTACCAGCATCTCAAGTGCAGTGTTTGCAAAATGGCTCACCTTCCCTCCCAAACCTAATCTTCGTCCACGCTTTATATTTCTTCCTATGAGTCACCCAGCCTCAGAGCACTGGGGTTACTGGCCTCCTCCCGCCTCTGTTCCCAGTCTAATCACTCTCCAAGTCCCTCCTATGTTTCCCTCTGCAACGTGGCTCATAACGGTTTCCTTTTCGGCTTTTAATTGGACAATCGCAGTAGATTTCTAATTGTTCTCCCTCCATTCCTCATTTCTCTTCTTTCTTAGACACTGCTACAAGATTAACTTTCTGATCACGTCACTTAATTGCTCAAAAGTCGTTTCTAAAATTAAACAGAAACAACTGCAAGGGCAAACCAATTAAAAGAAAATAAAAAGGCCAAACTGAACCACTGTTCCCACCTATACTTTCCTTTGGGACTTTTATCAGTTAGAAAAAAAAATGAAAAATCTGTTCAGACTGTGACTTTCTTTCCTTCCTTTAAAAAATATTTAAAATTATTTATTAAATGTTAGTGTGCTCTGTATTCCAAACTTCATTTTGCGTGTATCTTAAAGAATAAGTAGCTAGAGTTTTGAGAGAGATGATTATTCAGCCACGTGTTCTGCCATTTACTTGCATTTTGATTTTAGACTTAGACCTCAGGGCTTCTTTTGTCATCCATCCCTTTAGGTGGAAAATGACCACATATCTCAGAGTCACAAAGAGGGGTAAAGGGAGAATATAAATGAGTTCTTTAAACATCTTAGAGAAAACAGAGTGGCCCATTGTACTGTTACCCTGGCTGCTCTGGATTCATAAAGCTGGCAATGAAAATAATGCGCGAGGTCCCCATTGCTCTGTGGTAACATTGTCCTGGTCAGCAAACCTGCCCTAGAATTGTGGGCAAGGAGCATAGTGTGGCTGATAACCAAACTGTACTTGAAAATGCAAACTATGACAGGAAAACAGCCAGCTTTATGAAATATAAACCTTTGTTGTAGGATGTCTTCACTTGTCTCAGGTTCTTACAGTGACCGTAGTGTTTTGTTTAAAAGTTGGTATGGGGGAAGTCTTTAGTATTGTCCATTCTTGGGCTTCTCTTTATTGAGGTCTCCTCAGCTGCGTATTTTCCTGTTTGCTATGGTGCCTCCGGAAACCCTGGTGGCATAGTGGTTAAGTGCTACGGCTGCTGACCAAAAGGTTGGTGATTTGAATCCACCAGGTGCTCCTTGGAAACCCTATGGGGCAGTTCTACTCTGTACTGTAGGGTCGCTATGAGTCAGAATTGACTCGATGGCAACAA